CTGAGACGCAGGTGGGTGTTGTTGAGGGGTGGGTTGCGGGTGGCACTTCCCTGATGCGGCGGCGGCATCGGCTGCGGCTGAGGGGTGACACTTTGGGCATCATGTACATTTTGAGGTTGAGGAGCAGGACGCTGCTGTGGAGTCTGCTGGCCTGGTTGCGGCGTCTGCTGTTGCACTTGCTGGGCCTGATGTGCTTGTTGAGCTTGCTGGGCCTGTTGGGCCTGTTGAGCTTGTTGAGCTTGTTGAGCTTGCATAGCCAGGAAATGCTGCTGTTGTTGTATATTCTGCGGCTGTCCATGAGGCATCTGCTGCAGTTGCATTTGGGAGATGACCGGACGCATCCCAGGATTCTGCATGGCTGCCAGCTGAGCGGCATTCAATGCCTGCGTACCATTCGGCATTGATACGGGAAGCCCACCATGCTGTTGCTGTTGTTGTTGCTGTTGTTGCTGAAAGAGCATCCGCTGTCTCAAGAGTTGTTGCTGCTGCTGTTGATGCATGAGTTGAGGGTTATTGGCAACTGCAGAGTAAAAACACAAGTCATTAGCCGTCAATCATTATCGTGGCGTTTTGCCGGGCCTTGTTCGGGAAAATCGGGGGTACGAGGGTAAGGCAAAAAAGAAGAGATAAAAACCTACACTGTTGCGCAAAGTGTGGTTGCTGGAACAGGTGCGCCTGCGCTGGATTCAGATGAGAGAGAGCATGAGCTTGTACAGGACCGCCAGGAGCGGTCGTTCCAGCGCCTGGTGGCATCCCACCCATCATTGGTCCGCCCTGAGTGACCTGAGGACCTCCCGGAGCTGATACTCCGGGATGTACTTGCTGTACCATTCCGGCACCGGGATGAGCATTTGGGTGCTGGCCAGGGGCCAATGGGTGACCCGGGGGGATACCGGGATGCTGCGGGATCCCCTGATGGGCAGGAAATGGCTGCGCCATCATCATCGCTGTACAACGAAGTCGCCGATAACGGGACTCCTAGAAATCGATGGACAGGGGAAAGCGAGAGACGGCCAAGGGGGAGGGGAGGCGGGAAAAAGAATGTTCTAGAGAGCAAGCTCGAGATTGAGAAGGGAGAGGTATTAAGATAAAAGGAGGGAATGCAGAAAATAATAATTAAAGATTGTCAAAATATCGACAGTTGGTGAAGGCGAGCGTCGGACTCGAAGCAAAGCGCGCTTGACGTGGAGGCACAACAGGCCGCTTTTAGCGTCGGAGCGGAGGCCAAGACGCAGCTGACGGGTGACTGAGCCTGCGTCTGGTATCGTCCAGAGCCAGACG